TGCTACTGCTAGTACTTCTACTACTACAATCACTACTACCACTACAAGTACTACTACGAGTGCTAGTTCGTACTACTTCTCTTTTCACTACTACCTCTACTACTACGGCGACGTCTACTACTACTACTACTACTACTACTACTACTACTACTGCTACTACTACTACGACGACTACCACTACTAGTACTACTACTCCTCCTCCTACTACTACTACTACTACTACTGCTGCTGCTGCTGCTGCTGGTACTACTACTGCTGTTACTTCTGTTACTATTACTACGACTACAACTGCAACTACTACAGCTACTACTACTACTTTTGCTACTACTATTACTACTACTACTACTACTACTACTACTACTGCTATTACTACTACGACTAATATAATTACTACCACCATTATTACTACTACTACTACTACTACTACTACTACTACTACTACTACGACTACTACGACTACTACTACTACTACTGCTACTACTACTACTACTACTACTACTACTACTACGACTATTAGTTCCACCGCTTTGTCGGGAGCGATAGTTAATTATGTCTGGCGCTCCCTGGTGCCACTGTTACGGTCCGTGCGGGGCGGGTGCGGTACCCTGGGATGGACACTCGGACGGCCGACGAAACTTAGTTCTTTCTTTGGGGCATGCAAGAAGAAGCGCACGGGGAAGGAGCGGCGTGGAGAAACAGACAAGCAGGAGGAAGGATGAACGGATGTTTTCACTGGCCAACCTCTAGGTTTTTGGCAGTTCGCCGTCGTCGGCGTTCAAGGATCTTGCGTTCTTATCGTCGGTCCTCACTAGTTATAGATGTCAGTCTCGGGTGGCGGGGAAACATTTGTTTCTTTTTGCGTTTTGGTGCGGTGCTAAAGGTATCGCTCTGCTCAGTCCGCGACACCGAAGTCTTGGCGCTTGTTTTGGTGCTAGCAGTAAGCCACGGGGTGTCCCTTAATTGTCGGATGAGGTTACATGCATAGATGTATCCGCATGCAGACATGCATATAGTCAGATCTGCATGCATTCGCACAGCCATACATACATGCATGCATACATACACACAGACACACAAACTCACATTTGAATATCGACGTACATATACGTATGCACGCTTAATTTTGTTAGGAGTTTCTGTATCGTTGGCTGCTTTTGGATTGTTTCCATACGGAGGTTTCATACCCTGGAGGATTCCCTATGTGGTCAGGGTGTCTATGGTATCCATGGCCCATCCACGATAAGAGTTCTACCAGCGTCCAGCCTTTCGATTCCTTACAGGCTGGTTCCTTAACACGTTCCCTCACCGTAACGTCTGACATGCATCCCTGGACCACACTTGTATTCTATGGTTTTCACACAACAGTTGTTTCCTTAGCAGTGTGTTCTAGCACCCTGTCGATGGAAATCAAATTGTAATGCTGCGGTCGGCTTTACGGGGGCACTCGCCAATGTTGTCCAGGTCTGGGGACCTGGTTAGGGCCCAAGACGTTTGTGTTTCCCGCTCTCGCCTCTGCGAACAACGCCGGCGTTGAGAATTGTTACCCCAACTTATGTGTATTGATACATATGCACAGCACGTAAGCACGACCTATCTTTCCACACTGTGTATCTATACACGCATGTATGTATGTATGTATGTATGTATGTACGTATGACTATATATATACACATATGAATACACTCATACGTTATCTTGATAAAAAAATAACATGTATTTGTGATTTGTGTCATATACACAGTTACATACGCGGAAAGACTTCGCCCTCTTCCGCCAGCCCCCCACTCTATCAGAATTGGACATGCCCGAGCTGAGTTTGGTTGCCTGGGCGCCGACTTCAAGCAATATCGGAGCCTCATGCGAGGGCGCCTGGTAATCGTGACTGATGCCAGTTGCAAGAGATCGTGGCGTTTGGGGTGCGAAGCTTAAGTAATTTGCGAGTGGTCGTCGTCTCCTCCAGGGCGCGAATCTCACGAAACTTGCGAGGATTGTGGTTTCGGTTGCGCGATTCTGGCAGAATTTGCTAGGAATCCTGGTTTCCGGAGGGCGCATCCTGTGTTTGTCGCGAGGGATTCTGGATCCCGGTGCGCGAATCTGGCCCTGGGAGCGCGAATCCGGAGTATTTTACCATGGTTCTCTGGCCTCAGGAGCGCGAGCCTGGTGTAGGTTAGAAGAGGTCCTGGCTTCGGGAGCGCGAGCCTGGCGCAATTTAGGTAGAATGTTGGCTTCGGGATTGCGCATCTGGATTAATTGCCAAGGGATTCTGGCATCGACAGAGCGAGTCTGAAGTAATCTGACCGGGACGGTCCTCGGGAGCTCGAATCTCCAGCCTTTACGGCTCCCACACCCACCAGCTTTACGTCTCCCACACCCACCAGCAGCTCAGGCAACGCGACTTCGGGACATTGAGGTACCCGGATGACTTTTCTCCCCCGCCCTCGCGCGGACAATAACAGTTCGCAGTAGGAAGCAAGAAGTGGAGCTATCACATCGGAGGTTGGAGCCTTGAACTGCAGCAGGTCGCAGGAGACCTCATCCGCTCCGCCAGATGACCCCACCCACAAGGGGGCAGGCGGACACATAGCTTATCTTCTAATTACCTGTGGTGTAAAATTATGCATACAGGCCTCGGAAAAATAGCGAACACTCATGCCACATTCATCTGTCAACGTCTCCCCCTCCCCCGAATGTTCAAAGTTGGCGGTGGGTCTGATGAGTTGCACCTCGACCGCAGTCTCCCCCGCGCATGCTAACCTTGAGTTTGGGGGAGAGGGGGAGTGCTCAGCAATTGTTTCCCTCTGCCGTAGTTTTGCTCAGCGTGGCGGGCTGTATGTGGTGAAATTCTGTGCTGCAGGCCATGGAGTGCAATCCCTCTGGTTGGGATGAGCAAATCTGGGTGGCACACTGGTGTACAGGGTGCAACCGTGCAGCCTATTCTGTGCCATCTGCGTCGTGCGCACTTCTGCCCTCCAGGCCATGGTTCGCAGAAGGTGCGGTGCAAAATCGTCGCAGTGCACGCGGTGACCGGCGCACGGGGCTGGCACGCGTGCAGTCGCCGGGCGCAGATTCGGAACCACCGAACAAGGATTCAGCAGCACAAGTAAGAACCCCTTGTCAGAAAGACAGTTATCGGGTTGGGAAGATGAGGTTGGGAGATATGACCATGTCGTCCGCATTATCACGTATGTTCAATGTGCTTATTACACAGACATGCGCACTGCCATTGGCCGTCGCATCCTGCAAACCCCTTTGGGCTTGAATTGCCTGCCGATTGTGCTGGTGCTTCTGCTTGAACTCGATTGGACTTCCTTTTCATCTCGATGGAAACGACGTTCTCACTCATCGCACTAAAGCGTCTCTCCCCCATCGTCAACAGTTCCTCTGGAAGACCCCTGCTCTGCACATCTCGGGCTTGGCCACTATAGTCTGGTATCACTACGGTGTCCGATCGGCAGCGATGCTGCAACGCCGTTTCCGCCCACTCATGCAGAACTCATTGCGCAACGCATGAAGATCCGAAGCGGGTCACTGCAGTTGTGGTTCTTTCTGACGATATCTGGACGCAAGAATTCTGAATTTCTTCCCGGTTAGTAACGGAACGCAGTATAGAACCTGCTGAGGCCCTGCAACCTCCAAGAAGTTGTATGAGCACGAGGAAGATTCAGTTGTGAATCCCGCACCAGCAGCGGATCGCAATACGGAGCCCGATGCGGAGTCCATTATTCCTTGGACAATTACCGGACACCCCCAGCATTGCTCCTGCCCTTGGTCCATCCCCAGTGCTCGTCGCAACGCTTCAACACCTGGGAAGGTCCAAGATGGCTCCGAGAGGACCCAGGACACATACAACAGGGCTTTTGGACGGCCCTCCGAAGGCCTCGACAGAGCTCCGAGATGGCCCCACGACGGCCTCGAGGCAGGCTTCAGGCTGCAATATGATTATTGAGAAGTTCCTCGTGGTCCAAGATGCACCCAAGAGTGCCACGAAGTAGGTTGCAGTTTGCAAGTCGCTTCTATCGAAACGTGCGTGGTGTTGGATTGGGGGCCCATGCGCTGCAGCGACAACACGCTTCCCCTTTGCTAGCCGCAGGCGGCCGAAGGTATCGTTCATTGCATTCGAATGTTATTGATCATACACTGAATCCTCCCAGCCCCTTCCTCCCATCACGATAATTACCTTTCTCACCTTAGTGCATGCATTGTCTTGGGAATTTGTTTCGGCATGATATCTGGTTGATCGTGTACAGGCACGTGGTACGAATAACTATGGTCAGTGATTAGATGCGGTCTCAAAATTTGTCGCAGCATTCAGATACGGAGTGTTCTTTGACGGCTCGGTATGAAAACATATATAATTCTATGTATGTATGTATGTATGTATGTAGGTATGTAGGTATGTAGGTATGTAGGTATGTAGGTATGTAGGTATGTAGGTATGTAGGTATGTAGGTATGTAGGTATATAGGTATATAGGTATGTAGGTATGTAGGTATGTAGGTATGTAGGTATGTATGTATGTAGGTATGTATGTAGGTAGGTAGGTAGGTAGGTAGGTATGTATGTATGTATCGATTGATATGCTAGGATGTGGTGCCCATCGCTTGAACATCTGTCTAACCAGCAAGCGGTGGCACGTCTCCGATGCTCGAGTCGCGGCACAACGACCAGGAGCAGACAAAACCACGAGTATGACAAGCAGGCAAGCAGGACAGCACGGATGACGAGGAGGAGGATGAGCGGTAAGGGCGATGGTGATGACAAAGAGGGCGGATTTGGGAGGAAAAAGATGGGCGAAGATGACGGACATGGTGACGAGGAGGGCGAAGAAGAGGAGCATCTCCCCCCATTGCTCTTCTGCATCCCCGTCCTCATTCGTTTGAGCTTTTCCTCCTCCAGACTCGCTCTTCTCCACAGTTCTCGTCGTTCCTCCACCTCGCCCCAGAGAGCAACACAATTTAGACAAGTCAAGCGTCTATGCAACCCTCCGTCTCTTTATACACATTCGTATATGTATGTGTATGGAGAGACATAGTATATCATGGCGCGGCAGGGCTTAGCCTCACATGTAGGTAGGGACATGCATGTATATCTGGCGCACTGTACATACGGTCACATACAGTCAGTTATGAGTGAGCATTTATAGTATGGCATGGCGCTGCTACCGAGCAGACTAGGGGTGCGAACTAACATAAGTCAGTCGCATGTTCGCACCCATGGCGGAACGCTACATACCGTGGGCTGCCGCTTGGACCAGCGCGCGATCGCATCTAAATGCGACTATGTGTTTAGGTATATCTCTTAGCTCCTGGCACGTTTTTGTTTCTGGCCCTGTAGGGTCCAAGCGTTGGAGGAGGAGAATGAGGAGGAGGAGGAGGAGGAGGAGGAGGAGGAGGAGGAGGAGGAGGAGGAGGAGGGGAGGCGTCCATCTATCCGGGGCGCCATGACCAGATCCGGGACGCCATGTACTTTGGTGCCCAATGGCCATGCACCACGATTTCAATTTGTCAGCCTCCGGGAGGAGGCCAGGCAAGTCTGACTGTCTTCTCCCCCGTGCCCTACTCGATCTTCTCCTCTTCCGCCTCCCGTCCCACGTCTCCTCTGCCGCATGCTGCTGCTCCCCCTCCTCCTCCCTCCTTCGTGCCCCCTCCCCCCCCCCCGTTTCGCTCCTTCCTCATCCTCCTTCGCTCAGCCCGAGCCGACGTCCGATGACCCCCCCCCCACACCACCACCTGCGGCCCCTGGGGCCGCGGAGCGCCGCTGCTGGGGCATCGGCCCGCAGCTCGCGGCGGCGACTCGCTCGGGCGCCGGCCAGGACCTGGCGGGGAGGCGCCTCACGCCACGCAAGGCGTCGCCTCGTCGGGGTATGCGCGCTTTCCCCCGCACGTGGCTTGGCATCGCTCGGACGTGTGCATCTGTCCTTCGGCGAGGGCCATCGAGGAGCATCCTTGATCATTTGGCGAGAAGCCACGCGCGAAGCCGACAAAAAGCACGGGGAATGGACGTCCGAGCGATGGCGATGTGGACCTTCGCTCGTGCCGGAGGCCCGCTGCCTGGCGTGAGGGCGCCTCGCTGCTCGGAGGGCCCTGGAGCGAGGCCCCCCTGCAGGCACTGCGCAGAGGTGGTCCTCCGGGAGGGGCGCTCTCTGCCTCGGCGGGGCGGGTGCGGCCCCGTCGGCTTCGGCGTCGCCGGGGGCGCCCGGCGGGCCCGGGTCGGCCCCGGCGCCCTCGCGGGTGCCGGGCTTGGGCGCCGCGGCGGGTGCGCGTGCACGAGGGCCGTGGCGCTGTTGCGTGGGGCCACGGCAGACCATCCCGCCCGAGGAGGTGGAAGCAGCTCTGCAGGGTGCCCCTCAGAGGCGCCCCCCCAGCGGTGGGCGTCCGATGTCGGCGGCCTGTGCTGCTTCCCTGGTGTGCTCGGGCCCGTGTGACGCAGGAGCGGCTGCCGTCGCACGAGACCGAGGGACGTGCTGCCGGGGGGGTGGTCACCACGACCAGCATCTTCACCTACAGGGCGCTGGTCGCACTCTTTGCGAGCAAGGGCTTCGGCTTCAAGGTCGTGCTGGCACAGGGGCGTCACCGGGGACACAGGGGGCCACTGCGTCTCTGCATCAGCGGGTCGAGGACCTGGGGCACCACTGTGTGTGTGTGTGTGTGGGAGAGATGGCCACTCTGTCTGCAGGAGGTGGCACCCATGGTGGTTGGTGGCTGCTGTGTGCTCGCGAGGTTTGATATTCAGGTCACGACCCCTCCATGCCGCACGCCTGGGGTCCCTGTCCCAGGCAAAGCGTTGGCGGGCCGCGTGCACTGAGGGATGGCTGGTGGCATCGTAGGAGTGTCGGTCTACCTGCGTGACTCGGCCAGGCTGAAGTCGGCTAATCTCGAGATCCTGCGGATCACTGGCCACTCTGCGCAGGAGGCTGCCAGCATGAGCTGAACTTGGTTTGTCGGTGGCGAGTGTAATATGTGCCCAGAGCTGCTGGCTCCATGGTCCAGCTGTGGGGGCTGCGCTGCTGGTTTCCGAGGTGACCACTTCCCGACATACAGTCGGGGCCCTGAAGAAGGAACCCTTTTCGTTGGGGAGGGGCTCCGCGTTCCTTAAGTGTTTCACAGCTTGCCTCAGGTTACCCTTGTGTCTTCGATCGGAAAACGAAGTTGAACTTATGGAGAAAAAAGTTGACTCGGTCCTTATTTAGGGCTCCGGAGGTCAACGACCCGACTGTGGCATACCCAGAACCAGGTCAGGTTCCTTCGGAGCGGCGTTTTTGTTTTTTTTTTGATTGTTTTTTTTTTGTTTTTCTTTTTTATTGTTTTTTGATTTTTTTTGCTTTGTTTTTATCATTTTTTTTTATTTTTTTCTTTTTTTGTTGTTTTTTTTTATTTTGTTTTTTTTTTGTTTTTTTTTTTTGTTTCTTTGTTTTTTTTTTTTATTTTTCTTCTATTTGTTGTTTTTTTTTTTCTTTTCTTTTGGTTTTTTTTTTTTTTTTTGCTTTATTGTTTTTTTTTTTAGTTTTTATTCCTTGATTTATTGTCTATCTTTTTTTTGTTTTTGTTTTGGGGTTCTTGTTTTTTTTATTTTTTTTTTCTTTTCTGTCTTTTTTTATTTTTTTCTTTTTTTGTTCTTTTTTTTCTTTTATTGTTTTTTTTTTTTTTTTTCTTTTTTCTTTTTTTTTTTGTGTGCCAGCTGAACGAGTCGGGCCGGGTGGCCATCCGTTGGCGATGCGGCGGCCACGTGCCCGCACGAGCCTTTCGTCATGACGCCGCCGGGCCTTGACGGGCCGCTCCGCTGCAGGGCGCCGCGGGAGCCGAGGCCGTTTCCCGCGGTCGCTGCGCTTGGGGTAAGTCGGGCCTGTCCCTCTACAGGGGGAGGATTCAAAAGTAGTGGAAAATAGTACGGGGAGTATTGTTTGACCATGTTTGAGTATTTTTGGAGTATCTTTGGGGTATTTGTTATTTTTCGTCGAAGATCCCCCTGTAGGGGGACACGCCCGACCTAACGCTTGGGTGCAGAGCCACGTGAGCTCCAGGACTTGGGTGCGGCAGCGACAGTCCCATGCTGCAAGCTGCTGGGCCGCGTCGCCGGTTTCTGTTCTGGCTTGTTCCCGATGCTCGGCGCCTCCTCCTCCTCCTCCTCCGCCTCCTCGACATCCTCCTCCTCCTCCTCCTGCTCCTCCTCCTCCTCCTGCTCCTCCTCCTCCTCCTCCTCCTCCTCCTCCTTCTCCTCCTCCTCCTTCTTCTCCTCCTCCTCCTCCTCCTTTTTCTCCTCCTCCTCCTCCTCCTCATCCTCACTACTCCTCCTCCTCCTCCTCCTCCTCCTCCTCCTCCTCCTCCTCCCCCTCCCCGTCCAGCTTTAGAGAGCTCCTGCGCGCGCACGCGGTGGACCTGGAACGGCCACCCGTACGGGTATGCAGCCGATCCCCGGTGCGCGGCTGGAGCCAGATCTGAGGCGCGATCGGCCAGGCGTTCGGCGACGAGGCGCTCAGCCAGTGCTGGGGCGGCGCTCTGCAGGACGCCGGGCAGGAGCTGTGCGGCCGCCTCGACCTGGCAAGGGGGCGCACGCTGCCCGCAGGCTGGCCGAGCGGGTCCCCTGAGGATGCGGGGGCGAGGGGCAGCACCACCGAAGCCTGGGCGGTGGCTGAAGGCTGGGCCCGACGCCTTGAGAGCGTGCCTGTGTGCCTTGCTGTTCGACTGGTTTATCTGATGTTGGGGCCGTTTACCAGATTGGCCAGATTGGAGTTCTTTTTTGTTCGCCAGGTTGGATTCAGATTGAACCCTCCGCCAGATTGTCAGATCTCGCCAGATCGGGCCCGCCAGATTGGCGCCAGATTGGCTTCGACTACCCAGTGTCTCGAGTTCAAGCTCGATGAGCTCCAGGCGGCGCAGGATGCTGGCCGCCCTCGCGCCAGTGGAGGGGCCAAGCTGGCCGTCCTGCTGAGTCACGCCAAGGCCAGGAGCTAGTACTCAAGAGTCGACCCGTGTGTGCGCCAGTTCCAGGGCAACGAACAGTTACATAAGCATGAAAACTCAGAGGTCCGCGCAGGTTTCTTGGAGCGGAGGGCGCCAGGGATGGCGCCGGAGGCGCCGCCAGGGGGCTCCAGCGCCGATGCGAGAAGTCCGCGCGGACCTCCGAGTTCGTATGTTTAAGCCTTGCGCCATTGTTTGCCCCCCGAAGTACTCATCCAAGCGCCTATAGTTTTGCTCTCGGACCCGAAACTTCTGACATGGTGGATTGGCTTCTCTGCCAGCGCGAGCAGCACCTGGCGGCATCTGCCAATGTCGGAGGTTGATAGACCTCCTACCCTGACACGTCGAGTAAGGAATTGGCCGTTTCCCGTTCGCGAGAGGGCGTCGCGGCCCTCATTTTTGCGGGCCCAAGTCCGTTGGTTTCGGTCCTAGGCCGCTTTCACTACGGGGAGGTTTGCGAAAGGGAGGTTTGTCCACCCTCGACAATGTGAGGGCTCACGGTTGGAGCGAGCGGGCGGTTGTCAGCTCTGCCAGCGGATTCTCTCGAGCGCCTCGGCTCAGCAAGACGAGGACTCTCCGCAGACGGCGGCCGCCCTTCGGTCGGCAGGGCAGCCGCATCGATTGGTCGATGGCTGCTTGGACGACTGCTGCCACGACCTGGGCCACTCACAGCCCCAGGCCTGCGACGTCCTGATTTCTTCAGGACGGCGCCCCTGGAACGACCCCTTCCCCGGGACCGGTCTTCTCAACCCGAGTCGTTCTTGGACGGCCCCGAGGCACGGCGAGGGCTCCCTGGGGCCGAAAATTGCCAAAAACCTCCCGTCCAGATCTTTGCAAGGGAGGAAAGACCACCCGGACCGGACAATTGGCGTTTACTGAACGGCCTTGGGCGTTTACTAAAGAGCCCTGCCCTGTCTGATTGATTCCTCCTTTGGGCGCGTTTGCTAAACGACTTCGCGTGTCGGGGTGGTTATTATGGGGGTGCTTTTTTTGACTTCTATTTTTTCACGACGCGATCGTGTCTGTGTCTGGGCCTGCGAGCGGATGTTGGCTGCCAGCGGACGCGAGTGAGCGGCCGTACAGGCGGCCCAGATTAGTAGGTCGACCCTGCCAGATCAAGGTTACGCCCGTATCCTGTGCCTTGCGGCCCACGCCTCCTGCATCTCTGTGGCAACGTGGCCCTCGGAAGGGTCTTGTGTCCTCTCACGTGTCCTCTTCAATCACGTCCGACCGCAGCTGCCCACCGTCTCCCACGGGGCGGCCCCGGGCAGCCGCGCGGGGGGGCTTTCTGGCGAAGGCGGCCTTCGGCCCTGGCATTAAGTCAGCCCTGTCTTTCTACAGGAGGAAGATTCAAACATAGTCCCAAAAACAATGAGGGGACGATTTTGGGGCATGTTTTTGCCATTTTGAGGTAATGTTTGAATGCTTTAATTTTTCGTCGAAAAATCGCCTGTAGGGGGACATGCCCGACCTAACCCTGGCCGTCTGGCCGCCGGATCGGGGCCGCCACGCAGACGCTCGCGCCCACACATGATCGCGACGTTGAAAGACCAAGACGGGCGGTTTTCTTCTAATTTCGGCCTCGGGGGGCCCTCGCCGGGCCCCAGGACCGTCAAAAAACGACTGAGGATGAAAAACCGGCCCCGGGGAAAGGGTCTGGATTGTGATGGGACGCCATCCTGAAAAAATCAGGACGCCGCATGACTGGGAGAGGCACCCACACCTTTACCCGTTATCGTTGTCCCCTTTTGGACCTCCCGGGAAGCTCTCGTCGCCACCGCTGGGTTCGCCTCGAAACCCTGGTCAGAGCGCACCTCAGGAGAGGTCTGGGCAGTGGCGGTGCCGGTACCTTTTGGTTCCCCCGGCGAGCAGGCCGGGTTCTGGCCTCGGGATGGCGCGGCCAGCGAGTCGTCCGATTGCCGAAGCCTGGTGAGCCATGGGGGCCTCTCCTTATCGCCCTCATCCGTTCGCTGCCTCGGGACTGTGTCGACGGAGTGGGAGAAGAGCCATCGCTACGATCTCTTCTGTAGAGCGGGCCCCGGACGGTCCAGCATCGACGGTTCCTTCGCTCGCAATCTAGGAGCGGAGGTGGCCAGGAACGTGTTCCATCACTGGAAAGCACTTGACCATCCTAGTGCCGTCTCTTCCGCCATCTTCCTACCATGCCTATTCTCCCTCCTGTTCCTTGGTCTTCCCCCCCGTCCGACGACGAGGGATTGTACCCCTGTTCCGTCACTCCTCGTCGCTCGTCCTTCCGCCGAAGATGACAACCACGAGGAACCATCCGCCTCCCCTCCGCCTCCTTCTCCTCCTCCTCCATCCTCCTCCGCCTCTTTCTCCTCCTACTTATTATTCTTCTCCTCACTCCTCCTCCTTCTCCTCCCCCTCCCTCCTCGTCTCTCCTCCTCCTCCTCCTCCTCCTCCGCCTCCTCCTCCTCCGCCTCCTTCTCCTCCTCCTCCTCCTTTTTCTCCTCCTCCTCTCTCCTCCTCCTCCTCCTCCTCCTCCTCCTCCTCCTCCTCCTCCTCCTCCTCCTCCTCCTCCTCCTCCATTCCTTCTCCTCTTAGAGACCTTCTCCTTGTCGCACCCCGATGCCAGTTTTTGGGGCGTGCCGGGCGTTTCGCCTGAGACTTCCTCACCATTGATGAGTCTGAAGCTTGAAAAGGGACAACGGTTTCACAGATGGAGGGCGGGTGGCTTTCAAAATGTACCTCTCGCCTCAGCGGCGCGCACATTCGTTTTTTTATATTTGCAAGAGTTTCGCGGATGGAGGGCGGGTCGCTTTCAAAATGTGGTTCTTGCCTTAGCGCCGCGCGCATTCGCTTTCAACATTTGCAAGGGCTTCACGGATGGAGGGCGGGCAGTTTTCAAAATGTGGCTCTCATTATATTGCCGCGCACCTTCGTTTTCAAAGTTTGCAAGAGCTTCACGGATTGAGAGCGGGTGGTTTTCAATATGCGGCTCTTGCCTTCGCGCCGCGCGCCTTCGTTTTCAAACCTTGCAAGAGCTTCGCGGATTGAGGGCGGGCCTCTTTCAAACTGTGGCTCTCCCCTTAGTGCCGCGCCCATTCGTTTTCACAAGTTGCAAGACTTTCACGGATTGAGGGCGGGCCGTTTTCAAACTGTGGCTCTCGCTTTAGCGCCGCGCACATTCGTTTCCAGCATTTGCAAGAGCGGCTCCTCTCCAAAGTGTGGCTCTCGCCTTCGCGCCGCGCACATTCGTTTCAAAACCTTGCAAGGGTTTCACGGATTCCCAGGATCAGTGTATCAGCCATGGTGTTCTGCAGGGGTTCAGCATTATGCGGGTGTAACCGTTATGTTCATTCGCGGTGCTGAAATCAAACAAGTGGCGCTCTGGCACGGTTCTGGATCGTAGAGACGCGGCAGTCAGACTTACACGTGGCGTTGGAATCCCGAGAACAATGTGTTGGCATGCTTCAGGATCTTCAAGCGGCCGTCTTCCAACGGGGCAGTTCCCTCAATGGATATGAACCGTCGTTGGGACCTCTGAAGAGGGAGTTTGGAGGGAGAGTCAATTCCAATATC